TTGTTCTGGAGGGCCTCGTCCTTCTGCAGGGCCACGTAATCCCCGAAGCCGATGGTGGTGAGGGTGATGAAGCAATAGTAATAGGCGTGGAAGAAACTCCAGTGCTCATAGTAGGAGAACGCGGCTGCCCCGATGCACAGGGTGCTGATGCAAGAGAAGAACCCAATGGTGACCATGTTGGCCATGGAGACCTCAGCCCGTCTCATGCCAAGGCACTTCTTGATGCGGTGGAGGAGGTATTTGACGAAGGTGTTGATCCGCTCGCCCAGGCTCTGGAACATGACGAGGGTGAGGGGGATCCCCAGCAGGGCGTACACCATGCAGAAGACCTTCCCGCCGTCCGTGCTGGGGGCTGCATGACCGTACCCTGGAGAGCAAAGACAGAGAGAGTTGGCTTGGTCATTGCATACCTAACATGTTTCCCTTTTTCTACTGCTCGAGGGCAGCTGGATACAGCCATGTCCTAGGGTGTAGAGCTGGCATCATCTTGGAGCAAGCTCCTGAGAGGGACAGTGAGCTGCCCAGATCTTTGAGGGCAACACTGGAAGCTTTCCTGGAGGAAGCATTCACTTTTTTCTGGAGCATCCACTGATCTCCGAGCACTTTTGGCAGGATGGTATTTGCTATCTTTAGGCTCGCCTGCTAACTCGAGGGCCTACCCTCACACTTTTCCTCTCCAATCGCTTCCCCAATCTGAGTTCCCCGGCGGTCAAACCCGGCTGCCGACCCGTGCTGCCCTCGCCCCTGAGATGCAAAGAATGATTGCAGATGGTTTTTCAGACTAAGAGGATAACAGGACCTCAGAAAAACAATAAAGGGGAGGGGGGAGAGAAGGAAGAGACAAACACGGAAAGCCCTCGGCTGGCGGCGAGAGGAGCCGGGGGGGCTGGGGCCGCCTCTACCGTGCTCCCTGGGCTGCCTCTGGGTAATGAGCCGTTGCTTCCCTGCCACCAGCCACCAAGGGCAGGTAGATGGAGCATGCGCCAGAGACCCAGCCCCAGGGCCATCTGGATTTTAATTAATCTCCTTCCTGGGCAAAACTCGTTGCAAAGGGGACTTATTCTTTCTTTGCACTGCCAGATTATTTGCTTCTGATGCAAGCCAGGGGGTTGAAGCAGAGAAGAAGCAGCTGAGACTGTGGAAATCTGCAGCTGCCTCCCCAGTTGGGTGCTCCGGTATCCTGCAAGCCCCTGCGCACACCCCAGCGCCCGTCCTGGCCCCTCTCCAGCTCCAGCACCCTCTGCATGCTGCACTGGGTACCAGAGCCAGGGCAGGCAGCAGGACGCTCCCTTGACATCCTGCCCTTGGCTCCATATTGGCATGACCTGGAGGACCCTGAGAGTGTTTTTGGAGGTGAGATTGGACCAAGACCCAAGTGTTGCAGGGTTTATCTGGCTTTCTGCTGATATGCACAAAGAGGGGGGAAAGATATAATGGTTTTTGTTTAACTCACACCACAAAGCTCAGCTCAGAGAGACCCATTTCACTTGGAAGGAGAACACAAGTAACGAAGGGCTGTTGTCCAAAGCCGCCTAATGAGGTGACATCTGGCTTTAGGAGAGGATGGCAGGGTAGGGGATCCTCTTCCTGCTCAAGGCCAGGTGAGCCCACACCTCCCAGCTGCCGGGAGAAGGCTGTAACCATCAGGTTGGATGGTCCTTCAGGTCCTACTCCAGCCCTCTTCCCAGCTGGTGAGCCCACACCTCCCTGCTGCTGGGAGAGGGCTATAACCATCAGGTTGGATGGTCCTTCAGGTCCCGCTCCAGCCCTCTCGCCAGGAAGGGGAGCGACCCCAGGTGTCCAGTGCTCCCCAAAGGTGCCCTCTCTGCCGGGCAGCTGCCGTCCCCCTCTGCCTTTCCCCTCTCCTTCCTTCCCTCTCTGCCTTGCAGCAGATCCCGAAGCCCCGTGCACCGCGTTGAGCAGCGCCAGGGCGAGGGATGGAGGCAGCTTTACCTCAAACGCCCCCGAGCCAGCTGGCCGGGGGCTGGCGGGAGCCGGCCGGGGGGGGGGGGCAAGTGGCCCGGGGTCCAGCCAAACTGCCCTGGAGATGCGCTGCCGGCCTCACTTCATGCATTGTATTTATAGTGCCGCGCTCGTCAATTATTAAATACCTCCAAAAATATGTTCTGCGTAAAAGATTAAGCGGTCGTGCACCTACGTGTGAAAAACATGCTGACGTGATGTGATTATCAACAGATGAGGACAGCGAGTAATTTAGCATCTCTCTTTCCTCCTCGCTGCTTTTTTTTTTTCTTTTTTTCCCCCCTGTATAATCCCCCTCCCTGCCCCATCTAACTCGAGGTCTCCGTTGGCCTTTTCTTCACTGCCAGTAACGCTGTGAAAGCCAACCCGGTCTGGGAGCAGCTCCTGGAAGAGCAATGCAGAAAGCCCGGTGGCACGTGGCGCTCCTCTGCCCCGCGAAGGGCTTTGCAGCCCTCTCGGTTCGGTAGCTGCAACTGCCGGGTGGGCAAACTCAGCTGGAAGGCTGGGTTTGCCAAGGAAATTTCTAATTCCCTTTATTCTGGCATGCCCAGCACTACGCATGGCCCTGAAGGGATTTAGCTGGCACCCCAAGGGCTCGGTGTGCCCATGCCTGGGTGCATGGGGGCGTTGCACCCGCAGGCGCGCAGCGTGCTGCAGCTGCCAGGAGGCTGCGAGATGCCGGGGCTTGCTGTCGTATTGCTCCAGGACCGAGCGTGGCAGCTTTTTACCCCTCACCGCCAGGCCGTCCTCCCTCCGCGGGAACGCCAGAGGGAAAATCGCTCCGTCCCGGCTTTGTTTAATCCTTGCTCTGCGGAGGCAGGGAGCATTTCTCACTGTCATCCGTGCTGGCAGCCTCCGAGAGGCCAAGGATTAAGCAGTGCCGGAGCGAGGCGAAAAGTCGAGTTGTCAGATCTCCGTCCAAACCGCCTCCGAGGAGCTGGCGCGACCTTTCCCGCCTGCCGGAGCCACCGAACCCCGGGGCCGCTCATGCTGCAGAGAGCGTGGTTGCACCTGCAAAATCTTCGGGTGCAGCCTCAAATGCCTCTGTCCTCCCAGCCCCCCGCCCCGGGCTAAAAGAGCAGCAGCAGGCCCATCGCAGCACCACTCCGGGTTTCTCCAACGGGATGCCATGACCTGGAGCTGGTACATGCCCGGATCCCAAAGCCTGACTCCGAGGCGGCTGCCAGCATCCCTTTTCCTGAGGACGCCCCATAGGCAGGCTTTTCCCGGAGCCGGGGTGCTACTGCACTGTGTCGGGTCCAGGAGCAGAGCCGGACGGTGCATTGCAAAGCCGGGTCACATCTCACTTCCCCGGGAGGTGCTAGGGCTCAGCTCCATCCTGGCACTGCGAACCTGCTCCAGGGAACTGGTGCATTGAGGCCAGGATTTCAGGATCTGAGCCCCCGGGCTTTATTTAGCCCTATTTCCCTGGGGAGAGGAGCTGGCGCTTTCGCCGCCTGTACGTGCGCCCGTCAGTCGGCCAGCCGCCCCCCACCAACAGCGTCAGCCTGCGCTGCCTGATTGCAAACCCCCGTCGGGACAGGGTGAAGGTCGCATGGATACGAAATTCCCGTCGACCCCTCCAGCACCGGGGAGCTGAACCCCTCCTGCACCTGCACTTTAATGAGAAGCAGGCAGCGGTTGCAAACGCATGCAGCGGCAACGCGGGCGCGTTAGCCCCTGTTCGCGGGCCGGTCGAGTCCCCCCGGGACCTGCGC